ACCGGATAGGATAGAAAAGAGTTTGTGTGGCAGTTGACTGACCCAAATCCTGCCGCGCAGTACTGGTGATCCCACGGTCAGTATTTTACATGTATTACCCGAAAAAGTAAGGAGATCCTTGGTTCCCCTCCTCCTCTCCTTAACACTGGGCATGCCCGTGCAAAGAAAGCTTCCCGCCAGAATCTTTTCAATCGGTTGGGGCTGTGGCCAACCCCAAACGAGGTTGGGGTCGGCCTTAGCCCACTGGATAGAAGATTGTCAGCATTTTACTTGCTGTTGTGCAATTATCTCATTGGGTGGAGCCCTCCTTCAATCACGGAGTATATGGAGGGTGTCAGGATCACTGCTGACAGAAGTCGATTTTATTCCAAAAAAATGTGGCGGTTACTTTGTTCACTGTTTTTGCAACCACCACCATCAGATCATTTGTGATCTGATGGCTGGGAAGCACTCTGCCGTGATTTCCGGTGGGAGGTCTCTGTTTCTTTCTTTTATTTTGGCCTTTTTCCTGTTTTCTCTGCCAAGAAATTCGTAATGAATGTGTCTGGCTGCTGCCACTCAGTGTCACACTGGATCGGCCACACTCCTATCCGACTGCTAATGGGACCTTGCCCCTGGCCGTCTACACGAAAGTTGTAGTACTTCCGTTTGTGCTGCCACGAGACATGGGCAAAATATTTCGGCATCCGCGCCGACCTCGAAAATGTGTGGGATCTCAAAAGTACAATGGAGCTGGGCTGTAGTGTAGTGGTGGGATCAGACCCTAAGGGCCTCCCCACACCACTGTAGAACGAAAAACGAATGAATGCATCTTCCTGCGGAGAAGGGCAAGATGCATCCGTTACTAAGAATAGCAATGGCAGATGCATCTTACCCCTTTCTGCGGCAGATGCATTCGTTCTCTTTTCATTTCGACAGTGGTCGAGGCCCTAAAACGAAATCTGCTAGGTCTGCCTATGTCCATCATTATCCTACATATACTTTAATCTGCTAGGTCTGCCTATGTCCATCATTATCCTACATATACTTTGCTCCCGTACTGACACTCCGGCAGCCGCCAAGTGCGGCCAGGCGTAGACTGTATTTGGGCACATTAGCAGTGTGCCAAACATGGCTGATGCGATGTACGTGGTCACGCCTCTGGGTACATGCATTGGCATGCTGTGCTTCACGTGGGGAGGACAAAATCTTACCTGACGAAAAAGTGATGTATGCTCCCCATAGACATCTGAAAGTAACTCAAAAAACAAAAAAAAAAAAGATATCTGAAAGTAAGACCACCCAAGAGCCTAGCTCAGTGGGTGGAACCCTGAATTGTTGAAATACAGACCTGTTTTCAAATCCAGATGATGGAACTTGATGAATAAAACCAACTACTAATAAATTGCCTGGGGTCGGTCATAATATCTCAAGGCCGCTGCCCTTTCTTTTTTTTTTAAAACGTAAGACCGCAGTATGTGCCACGGATGTCAGACAAACATTTTATCTTCTTCACAATCTAAGCTCTTTCGTGTTCACCAACCAAAACACAATTAAGTCACCCCCCCCTTTCCCAAAAAAAAGGAAAAACAATTAATTTTAAAATCGAAAAAAATGGTAAAAAAAAAGACCTTACAACTTACAAAATGCATCCCACACGGTTGCAAACAGTGCTAGCGGGTCCCGGCCCCAGCGCTACCTATACCTACGTTCCATTCTCTTTTTTCTTCCCCTCTCCTCTCCACGCYCCCCCCCCCCCCCCCCCCCCCCTCCCCCCTTGTTTTCTTTCTTTTCAAAACCCAAGATCTCTCCATTTATTAGGGCCCAGTGCCCAAGGCAATAATACACAAAGTGAAAACCTTTCCACAACATGATAAACAAACAAACAAAAAAAAAAAACATTCCACATTCAGGGGGCCCCAAGGTCTCCTATCCTTCTCTGTGTGGTGAATCCCCTCCCCTGTACCCAAAGGCCTCTACAGGCTCAACCGTAAGGTATATATACTATATATAGTGAAGACAATATAGGCAAAACTTCCAAATTCTACTCCAAGTGGTAGACGTCCAAAGTAATACCTACAGCAACGCAATGCCTACAATACTTTCGACTTTACCTGGGCTTCTTCATCAAACATCTGGCATGTGTCCATGCTGACCATGGCCCAGAGTCCGGTTTGAACTACAGTTAATCTCCACTGGGTAACGTGAGTCAACTATTCGAAATTGATGATTGATGATGACTTTACACAGCTTTGTTGACTTTGTCCTTGTGCTGTTTACTGCTTGCTTTGCATGCGATAAGCTTGCTTTGTTTTGCGGTCACTTTCATCATCCATTGCCCACAGTCCAGTTTGAACCCACGCCCTTCCGGGGCCAGAAGGGCCAGACTTCAGAAAGCTTTGCCACGTCTTCATGTTCAGAAGAGTGCAAAATCTTCATCTTCATGTCTCTTGACAAGAGTGAGAAATCGATGTATTTTGACAGGACGATCTCGATTTGAACCCACGCCCTTCTGGGGCCAGAAGGGCCAGACTTCAGAAAGCTTTGCCACGTCTCCATCTTCAAAAGAGTGCAAAATCTTCATCTTCATTTTTCTTAAATTTTTTTATTTTTATTTTAATGAAAGCCCTTATGTAAGCTCTCCATTCCGATGGTGGCAAGAGAACCACCAGAATAGAGGGCTTATCTGCCGGGCTGCTCCATCCTTTGGTGGGGAGCGGCACCTTGACAAGAGTGAGAAATCGATGTCTTTTGACAGGACGATCTCGATTTGAACCCACGCCCTTTCGGGGCGAGAAGGGCCAGACTTCAGAAAGCTTTGCCAAGTCTTCATGTTCAGAAGCGTGCAAAATCTTTATCTTGATGATGACAAGAGTGGGATTTGAACCCACGCCCTTTCGGACCAGTACCTGAAACTGGCGCCTTAGACCGCTCGGCCATCTTGTCATACAGACGAATCAGAGAAACACCGCCGACCGTGGGGCTCGAACCCACGACCACAAGGTTAAGAGCCTTGCGCTCTACCGACTGAGCTAGGTCGGCTATTTGTTTGAAAAAGTGTCTACTATCTTGTAGGCAGTATTCTATTTCGCTGTCTGCCAAAATGACAATGTGTACAGCAATACTATGCATACAGGGAGACAATCTAGTATCTACCAATGAAAAAAAGAGGAGAAAAGACTCAAAAGAGGTCACAAAAAGAGAGAATGAACACTTGGTTGTTCTTTTGTAAATTTTTATATATTACCATATTATTACGTTACGTTCCCTTTTTTTTTTTTTTTTTTTTTTTTTTTTTTGTATTTAAGAAATCCCAGAGTGTAGTAGACGCCAAGGACCACCAGACCCACGGTGATCGCTGGCAGCGGCAGCCGATGGTTGTCCTGACAGGATAGGCCACCTACCCTACCCATCCCCATGTTAATACTCCCACCCCACCCCCTGTCCCTACTATCCCCTACCTCCTCAGTGTGACCAGCAATCAGGACCACCACTGTCTCTTATACACATCTAGATGTGTATAAGAGACAGCCACGGTTGTCCTGACAGGATAGGCCACCTACCCTACCCATCCCCATGTTAATACTCCCACCCCACCCCCTGTCCCTACTATCCCCTACCTCAGTGTGACCAGCACTCAGGACCATCACCCTACTAATGGGCAGTACGGGCAAATGACGAACGAGCTAAGGAAAAGGAAGGACAAGAAAAAAGAAAAAGATCCATTAAGGACCAAACCCACGGTGATTGCTGGTAGCGGCAGCCAATGGTTGTCCTGACAGGATAGACCACCTACCCTAGCCATCCCCACGTTAGTACTCCGAGCGCACCCCCTGTCCCTCCTACTATCCCCTACCTCAGTGTGACCAGCAATCAGGACCACCATCACCCTACCAGTAAATATTGAGGGCAACTTGGACCACACAGCAGTGACAAGCAAGCACCAAGACTGGCCAACCCCCCAGCCCTAGTGGAAGTGGAATAATCGGACGAACCCTTGCCGTATGGGAACTTTGGATGCCAGGCTCATACTACGACCTTCTACAGGCCCAATTCAAAGAGACTACCCAGCAGGATTACCTAAGCAAGGCAGGCCAGCACCCACGGACACAATCTTGCCGTCCATCCCCTAACTTACCCAAGGCTAGGCGGAACTCAGACTAGCCGGAGCGGCTTATATCACTACCCTACCCTAGAGCTAAGCCATGCATGGGTAGACCCCGTCATAGACCTGATAGACCCCCACCAGCCCGGTATCGTAGTTGCGTGTATGTGTGTGTGCCCAGAGGCTATGCATGTTTGTATGACCATGTTTTTTGTGTCTGCCTATGTGTGCTCTGTGTAACAGTATAGCGAGATGTATGTGCCCGCAGGCCAGATATTTGCAGTACTACGTAGAGGGAACTATATGTTCGTTTTTTGAAGAGATGACAGGCCAAGCTGGACAAGAACCCTCCCAAAGTCCCAAGCCAGACTCGAACCCGTCATCTATGACATGTGAACTGAGGACTCTACCATTTCAACGACAATTGCAAACGCCCCATGTGTGATATGCCAGACTGGGGAGTTCAACAGAAACAACGACGAGCAACGGCCACAAGCAATGCGCGGAGTATCAAGACCCGACATACGACACCATGGCCATGGACAACCCTTGGGTGGTGCGCATGCAGTGTCTGTAATAGCTTTACCATGCTCCAGCCCAAGTGTGTGTGTGTGTGTGTGTGTGTGTGTGTGTGCGTGTGTGTGTGTCCAGGCGTGTGTCATTCTAACGCCCTCCCGTTGTCCATGCATGCAAGGCTGCGATCGAGTTCTGAACCCACAACCTCATACCCTTCTTGATCACGCTGCATGAGCGCTAACTTGCGCTGCGGACCGGTCGGCGAGGCCCGGCCGCACTCCGCGGACTAGGGCAGTGATGGTGAGCGCCATCACTGCGCTTGGTCGTCCTGGTGCCCGTCCGGCGCTTCGGCCCGGGCGTAGGTGGGTTTTCCACGTGGCAGCTTAAGGAGACGGCACATCGGCGTGAAGGAATCAAGCTTAGATTGAAGAGGCAGCGTGGTCGTTCGAGGGGCGGCTTCGACAACATAGTAAGATACACCAATACCAAGATTAATGACCACAATGGCCTCAACCATGACTACAACGGCAACAATGATGGCGATGGAGGCGGCGACCGTGCAGGACGCTGTTGCTGTTGCCTTGCTTGAAGAGGAGGGAGCTGCGCTGGAGATGGTGCGGATGTATAAGCGACAGATGGATGGCATCTATGCCGTGCTGATTCAACATCGACACAATCTACCAGCGGAGCTTATGGAGGAGGGTGAGGAGTTGTTCAGCGGATGGGAGGAGGAGCTCCATGCAAATCTCCCTTTTCAGCGGTTGGGCGCTATTGAAGAAGCACAAGTGATGGCGGAGCTGTGTGATTCTACTGAAATGCTAGGGAAAGTGAGGGGAATCTTCGTTGAGCTCTGGGAGGGGATGTATGTGAATACAAGGCGTGATGATGTCAAATGGCGTTGCTGAGTGGGGCCTGAGGAGGGGCAGGTGCTTTGTGCCACGTTGCAGGATCATTCGTATGAAGTTGGCGGCGCTTGTATTTCAGCCACTTCCGTTATTAAGGAGGCTGTAACTCGCCGCGGGGAGCTTGAGGAGGGGCAGGGTTCTTGCGGTGAATCGGAGGAGCGCTCGTTTGTGGGTGATGAGGATTGCCCTTGGCGGGGAGGAGGGGTTATCGCCAGGTGTGATAACAACAACAACAACAACAACAACAACAACAACAACAACAACAGCGACCACAACGGGAATATCGACGATGAACTTATGTTGTCTGTGGCACAGGGAGTAAAAAACAAAAACGATAGCAATAACACGGTGCGTGACGGTGGAACGGCAGGGCCGATCTTCAACTGGTGCGCACCAGAAAACGACGTTGATCTCAACAACAACAATGACAACAAGGAGTCAACCGGCGACAACACGACTGGGGATCACAGCGATTGCGAAAACAGATTTAATAACGACAATACAGCCGGTGATAACAAAAACAACAAAGATGTTCACAGTGATACTCACGGAATAACAAGTGAGAATGGGCAGTCTCTTCCCCCCTTTCCCCACCCTCCCCTGTTCAGTTTTTGCTGGTGTTTTTTGGGGTTGGATCAGGGGTGTGGGTGAGTTGGGTGGATGATTGGAAGGTTTGGTAAACGAGAGGACTGTGCGGGAACGTTGGAAGTTGGATGGTGGCGCGAAGGGCTGGGTTAGTGACGCTAGGATAACCGGGTCGCATAGGGTAGCATGTGAGTGGTTGGTTCCAGCGTGCTCTTCCTGGGTTACGTGGTGATTGCTCAGATTTGGCTTCTCGATCTGCCATATGGATTTGGTAAACTAATATGGCAACCTAAACCTTGTGCGGCTCTTTAGGATATAGGATGTCGCCATGTGGCAGGGCAAATGGCGCAGTGAGGAACTACCATTGGGAAAAGGCATCAGGGCGACCGATGCGACTTGTTGTGTTCTGCCACGTGGCTGTTTTGCTAGGATTTCTTTACCCCCTTTTCGATGAGGAATCCACATGTATTCTTGCCTTCTCTGATTACCCCTCCCCTTGCTTCATAAGCTTTTTAGGGTAGGCATAGATCTTGCGTCTCGAAGGGTGGTTGTATCAATTGATCTTCTATTCTCCCTACTGTTGATTGCCTCTCCTCCTCATGGCGCGGTGAGGATTTATGCGGTAGATGATGAGGAACTCAGAGTAGGGATATGATTTTGGATATGAATTTGGATTACGATGGACAGTTAATCCCCTCAGTCGAGGGCAATCAATGCTGCTCATCAGTCACTTGGTGTGCTTGCGTGTCGCTTTCCATGACCATTCAGATGACCGACACGTGGCAAGCCTACATGAGTTTGAAATGAGTTTGAAATGTTCCTATAACAACCATTTTACATGTGAAGGGACGCTGGACCCGCTTTCCAGCAGGTGCTGCTCCCCACCAATAGATGGAGCCTCCCTGAGCATGCTAGTGGTGTCTGCTCGTATCAGCACCTCTAGCATCCACTCGGTTTTTTTTTTTTTTTTTTTTAAAGAAAAAAAAAGAAAAAGAAAAAAAAAACAATGAGCATTTCCAACCGGTGGTCTAACCAGTGAGCT